GAAGCAAATAATATCCTGACAGAAAAAAGGTTGGCAATAATTGGCCTATATCTGTCAAGACCTACTGCATATTGGTGAGCAAATCAAAAATATAATATACAGTATTAGGATAATGATTTTGTATCTTAACAAAGTTTTGCATATCAATTTTAGCTAGCTTTCTGTTTTTAAACCCTGGTTAATCAATAGAACAACAAATTGTTATTAAGATGAAAGTATATAGGAGAAACCACAGATCAATATGCTATGAATATGTTATCATTGTTTAATAGAGTATCCAAAATTAGAAATTAGTATCCAGAAATGATAAAACCACAAATATTTGTACAAGAGTTGTGTCCTGATCTCTCTTTAACAGTAAAACCCTTCATATCTAATACATTACAAGATATAACCGATAGAGCTCAGATATTCGAAATGATATTTTACATGAATTAACATTTGGTAGATTTGCAATGATATATAATACAATGCTAGTATATTGCCTCAACTGACATATATATAACAACAATAGATATTACCATTACAACAAGCTTTTTAACCTCAAGTTTTGATGTAGTAAATTCTATTTCAATCACAACTGTTAATATCGAACTAGCAATCGAATAAAAATCTCAAGATTCAGTAGGCCAAATAATTTTCTTGTTACAAGTGCTGTAACAATGTAAAAGACAACCATAATAATAGTCACTCTGTGGTAAATGAAGGCCATAGAGAAAGAGTTGGCCATAGACCAATTTGTTTTTTATATCAACAACCAGGCCACATTTCAAAAGAGTGCCTAAATATAATTCACCATAGTAATGACAGTAAAAATATTCTTCAACAGCCAGTTTTTGATAATCAAGACAATATTGGAAATAGCAGCAATAATCAAGATAACAATAGATCATAGGCTTAAGCAATATTGCCCAAATAGAAGATGGGTTTTAGTATTTAAACTAGAAGATGCACCTTTTGAAAGTAAATGTGTATCAACATCAAAAAATCCTTCAGTAAGAATTATTGAAGAGGCTTATATAGCAAGTGACAATAAAAGTATATTGACAACTTTGATGAAGTTGAAGCCCTATCTCAGTATGAATCTGCAAAGAAGGTTAATGAAATAAATAAAAATCTGAAAGTTAAATGACAGACTATATAACTAAAAAGGAAAAAATCAAAAAGAGAAAAAGAACGAAACCAATCAACCTATCTGTAATCGCTTGTATGCAATCACATTCGATCATGTCAGACCTTCAAAATAAAAAAGCTGATATCATATATATACAATTGTTCCAAGCTGCACCAGGTCTGAGAAAGGATGCTTTAAAGTCATTACACCCTAGATGAGTCATCAAGTCAAAGTTCATTAATTTTCATCTAGAAAAAACAAATGAAAATTATACAATGTCTATATATTGTGAAGTCTTTGTTAACGATATGCTGATAATCTTGATTTTAGATAGTAAATTTTTAGATTGTGTAGTTTCAATGAGTTTCTTAAAAGAAGTTAGCATTGCAATTGATTGTTTCTCAACTATATTGATGACTAAAATTCATGGTGAACAAAAACGGTCTTTAGGAGAAGTCAATCGATTTTTGGTAACTGTAGATAGAAAATGATAACCTCTCATGCTATAGTAACAGACGCCAGAAATTATGTAGCTATCATCAACAATGATTTGATGAAAAAGACAAGAGTGAAGCTAGATTAGAATTCATGTGAACTTACAATTATGGATGGTGACAAAGAACTTAAAATACTGACAGAATATTACAAGCCAGTACATATTGGAGATTATATTATAAAAAAGATACAAGTATTGAATTGGTGAAAAAAAAGAACAAAGAAATGGTAGTCGAATCAGATAATAATAACAATGAAGATAGTAAAGAATCAGATGATAGTGAAGAAAGTACTGATGATGATAACGAAAAAATATTGATAAGTCAGAAATATTTTTTCTATGAACTTCACCTATGATAAAGAAAGTTGATAGATATTACAGGTAATGATAAAAGAATCAAATACCATTTGAAGTATATTGAAAGCAAACCTGAGAAAAGAATGCTATTCAAAATTGGTCTGGTAAAAATTGCCATAACAACAATATTACCATGTGATCTTGTCAATCTGGTCTTCGATCCTGGAGGACACTGAAGAATAGAATTGAACTGGATTAGTATAGTGGAATAAAAAATAAAAAAAAAACTTTTATTAGTACTGTTCACATTAATTCAAATTACAATAAAAACAAATAAAATCACAATCACTTAACTGCTGGGGTATAACTGAAATTTTCAAGGTGTGAACAATTATCTGGAATCGGAATCCCATGATTGCATAGAATGCTTGAAAAAAAAAAATTTTTTTTAGTAATGCTAATAACATTAATTCGGATTACACATGACAATGAAAAATGGAATTAGAATAACTTAACTGCTGATATACAGTTAGAGCTTGCAATTGGTGGACAATCAACCTGAATCGAAGTCATGTGATTGAATGCTTGGAAAAAAAAGGGCGAAAACTTTTGCTTGTATGCGGACCGGGTCTCTATTGTGTAACAATTACATCTTTGATATGCAATTAGATAGTAATATGTAGTAATTAGTACAGATGCAGGGAATATGCAATTAGTAAACAATCTGTTATGCAAAAAGAGGTGACCATATGCATGCGCATGAAGTATGTAGTCATTAAATAGTCATTAGTCTTAGTAATCGTTTGAACAATGGTCGTAAAGGGAATAGGATATAAAGGGAAAAGAGAAAAAGATAGTTAGTCTTTTAGTTCTTTTTAGTTTTTAGTGAGTCTTTTGGGATATTAGTTTGGAAGGATTATTAGTTTTAGTGCGTTTGGAACGTACTAGGTTAGTAGTTGGACAAGGATATTTGAATTATTAGTGTCTGGGACACATTGGTTTAGTATTTTCTGGTGCCTTGTGTGCGTAAATAAATATTTGGCTTCCTCTTGTTAATGATTACGACTCTTTGCTAAATTAGCTAAGTGGATACAAAGTCTCTCCCTTGGTCGTAACAACGCCCACTTATACCTGTTTACAATAAATCCTACTGTAGGGATTTTTTTGTCGGGATTATGGCCTTTCGGGATTTTGCTTGTCGGGATTTTGACCCGGACCTCCTAAAAATGATTTAAGGCATAAACTCTTAATTTTATGGTAGTCAGCAGTCTACAGTAAGCATTACAAGGTTTAACTTCAAAATTTTAAGGTTAGAACAAACTTAAGATTTCGTTGGGTTTATGATTACTTAATTCATTGGTGATGTAACACAATGAGCTTTTCAGATTTTGATGCATTAGATATATATGTGGCAGTTGCGAAAATTTGTAGAAAATTAAACGTCTTTCTGTTTTGCAAATATGCAGGTAGAACAACAAATTCCCTCTCCCGACATGATTCCGCTTACTGAAATTGATGGGGAATCTGGAAGCAATTGGATTAAAATGATGACTAAAAAAAACTATATTAATTCGATTGACTACACTGAGTTTGGGAATATTGATCATCTTGCCATTGGAGATTCGAGTGTTATCCAGAAAGCTGTATGGATAACGAAGGAAAAGGAAGTAGTCTTAAAAAAAGTTTTACCTGATGAATTAATAATAGAACAAGTTGAGCACGAAGAACTTGTTAAAGAGGTAAAATTGACTTACTATCCTTTCATGTTCTTAAATGTACATCTAACTTCATGATTTTTATATTTAAATTTATGTAGATTAAAGCATTTAATTCAATAAATGATAATCTAAATGATGTAGACCGTAAATATATCGTCGAATTTTTTGGAATATCAAGGTATGATAACTATGTGTGTAACTATTTACATACATACAGTTTTCTAGACACTAACTATAGATCTTTTTTTCATTATCGACTTTAGTTCGTTAAATTGTATGTACGCTATATTTATAGTAGGGATTGGAACTACCTAGAATTCACTTAATCGTTATTCAGCCAAATAAACTTTGGCCACAACTAGAGATGTGCCGCGTACAGTACAGTACGCAAAAATTTTTTTAGAATATTCCAGAACAATCATGAAAGTATCCCTATCTCAAAATTTTGACTATGAAACTGTCTCTCGCACTCTAACAAGAAATGTTCCTTGCTGTTACATATAGCTTATTTATAAATGCCACGTGTGTTGTGTATATTACGTATGTTATACACACTATACAACTATACGTACTGTACGTACTGTACGCTAAAAAAATCCAGGTATCATATAAATGGCACATCACTAGCCACAACATCGACATTTGCAAACAATGTGTTAAATGGTTCAAATCATTAATTAATAGTACGTTTATTAATCCATTATGATGCTTATGACATTTTCGTTTTATTTAGTACTTAATAGTAGAGAAGAATTTTTCTTAGTATTGGAGTATGCGGATAAAGGCGACCTAGAAACTTATTTAATTCAAACTCCTTTAAAGTGGGAACAAAAGGTTAATATTACACGGCAAGTCACGTGCGGTCTTCGTTTTCTACACACAAATCAAATTTTGCACCGTGATTTGGTAAGTTTAAATTCTTGAAATAGTTTTTTTATAACTATAGTTAATGATAAAATGATTAAGCTACAGCATTATGTTTTGCATTGTGATTATATTGCATACAATTTATTGCAGAGTAGCATTTGAATGTAGTTGAAAATGCTATTCTACATCATCACATTGAAATGTAGCCGACAATGCGGATTTTGAATAATCAACTTATCTATAACATCTGGATATACACTAATCATTACTTTATTTTAGCACACAGGGAATGTAGTTATTAAAAGTGATAATAGTAATTTGGGAATTAGAGCAATTATCATCGATTTTGGACTTTCCAGAGTTGTTTCGCGCAATAGTAGATCGAATCAACATGTAAAAGGACGTATTATATTTATGGATCCAATTATATTAAATAGGCTATGCATTACGTTTGGGGAAATTTATACTTATTCTTCTGATATATATAGCCTTGGAGTAATAATGTGGGAAATTTCAAGCAATGGTCAAAGAATGCCGGAAGATGATGCAAAAATATTTGCTAATTTAAATCGCAAACATGTAAAACCAGTGGCTGGATCCACTCTCTCTTTCGTTGAGCTCTATGAGAAATGTTGGGATGAGAATCCGGGCAATCGACCTGATATTAATTGTGTTTATGAATTGATTCATAAAGATGATATTATATCAGGTGAAAAAGTTCCCGCTGAATCAGGTGAAACATTTCTTTTCAGTAAATAGCTGCTATGTCGAACTGATTTCTCCTAGATAATACAAACATCTATGTTTTAATTTAAATTAACCTAAACCTTTTAATTCATGCAGAATCTAAGAAGGTATATTTAATTTATTCTATTTATATTTGTCGCAACTGAAGTTGCCACCTATCTGAAGTTGCAACTTCTGAAATCTGAAGTTGTTGCTATCTAAAGTTGCAACTTTAAATATCTGAAGTATCAACGTCAAATGGACAACCCCTGTATTTGAAGAAGCTTTTTTATTTAAAATTCTACTTTAAATATCTAAAGTTGCAACTTTAAATATAGTATATGAAGTTACTACTTAGATATCTAAAGTTGTTATTTTAGATATCTGAAATTTTATTTTAGAAACTGAAGTTGCTACCTTAAGATATCTGAATTTACTGCTTTAGATATTTAAAGTTATTACTTTAGATATCTGAATTTACTTTTTAGATATTTAAAATTATTACTTTAGATATCTAAAGTTGACTACTTTAGATATATTGAATTATTGAATTATTACTTTAGATATGAGGTTGTCATTTTAAATATTTGAATGCAAAATTGCTAAAAATTTGTGAAGTAGCTACTTTATATATTTAAAATCATCAGGAAATTTTGAAGCCTGATTATGATCGGTTGCAAACAATTAATTGATTATAATCAATTGGCTTCAAGCGATAATAATCGACGGTGGTAATGTCGTGACTGAAGTTGGGATCCGACTAATGTTGGAACTTCAGTTGACTGAAGTTGGCACCTGCCTAAAACAGCTAACTAATGCGTGCAGGATGATCTAATTTCAGG